CGGACGACTAGCTCGTCGCAAGGCCTCTACCTGGACACAGGACAACACAAACACAGAATAAACACATACACATCAAACATCCATGCCTTGTGTGGGATTCGAACCCACGACCCCGGCTTCCGTGCGAGTTAAGGCAGTACATGACTTAGACCGCTCGGCTACCGTGACCGGCTATCTTCAAGACTTACTGATCAGTTACTGCTGTGGAAAAGGAATGTAAAAACTGTCATGTTACAGACTGCAGATTGATGCATTTTCGAGAAGTCGATCAAGATAATATAACAAACAGCGATGTGGGTGGTTCTTGCTGGAGGCGACATCTGGAAAGAGCAGGCAGCTTCTTGTATTAAATCCAAATAATGAAGACTATGGCTTCAGCGTTCTGATTGTTGGTAAACTTTTCTGTCCTTAGGTTTGTTCTCATGGTATCCTATATATTGTACGCTCAATGGGTAGAGTACATATAATCTAATGTAAGACAATGTAACGTAATATTATTACATGGAAAGGGGGAAGAAACATTTACCCTCTGCTTAATTAAACATCATGCTATAAAGACGTATGGAGAAGTGGAGGTGTTCCTTAAGAAATCTTACCGAGGAAATTGGCGCAAGGGATAACGGTTATGACTTGAGTTTGACAGGTGCTCGGTTCGAATCCTGGTCGTGCAGCCGAATATTCTGAGGTGTTTCGTGGTTTTTCTCAGCCCATTCAGGTAATTCCTGGGTAGTATTTCGAATTAAGCTATGACCGTTTCTTCGAAATCAAATCGATGCTAAATCTGAGATACTGACAACGCCATAAAATACGCAACAAAACAAAATTATTTCGTGAAATACTGCAAAATTTTCGCTGTGTTATGAACATATTTCACTCTCAGAATATTAATACATTACGTGTTAGTTCATATCCCGTAAACTTTTTTTTAGAGTAACTCTTTTAAACTGAAAATTAAAATCAGATTACAAATTACGAGGGATATATTCAAATTTCTATGAGGCAAACCGTAAAATACTCCAGTACAAACATATTACGTTAGATAAAAGTGTCAAAGTTACGTAGCTTTTCCTGAAATATTATTTTTCGGATTTAGAACAAAATGAACAAGCAATGTAAGTTTACTCACGTGGACCCACTTGATGCATAAATAACGGTCATGATTAATGGAAAACACAAGCCTGTTTCCATCTTCAAGATTAATTAAATAACTCCATGAATCCGGGTCCTTCTTGAGAAGCCACAAGTCGCTCAGCTACTCAGATATTTTCCCAACATTTTATGGAACCCCAGTGTTCATTATCGTGTTCAAAAGGGCTCGCCATTGTTCCCTGTCTGAGTTAAATTAATCCAGTCCATATCATTTCTATAAGATCAGCTTTATTATATTGTGGTGTGCCGCCTAAAAGCCAGAATATCTGAGCGGGCGTCCATTGCTGGACAACGGCTGTTAAAACACGTTTCCGAGACAGCGCATACAGCGACATCCACTGCACAGATAGCGACTCCTACAGAGACGTCTCCTAAGCAAAGTAGACAGATGTTTCCTGCACAACAGAGGTGTCGTTTCCATGACAACGACGGGACTAACTGTTCGACTCGGTGTCCCCTATCGGTAGGCCAAGCCGTTAGGGAACAGAGTGTGTTCGTGAAAAGAGAAATGAGAGATCAGAGAATACCGGATCAGTTGTCAGATCAGAGACGATGGACTAGTCAGGTCGCATCGTCAGGAAGACTTGATTTCAGAGTGATTGTAGTGGTTGTAAGTGAATTGTGAATCAGTTATCCAAATAAAACAGCTTTACCTAATCCAAAATCCACAATTATTTGTCACTGAACCCCGGACACGTGACAATATTATCCTCCGACCTTCATGAAGGTATTCGCAGCATTTTTGGGATTATCCTTCCATTGTCATTCTAACAGTATTAGGTGGCCTATACAAAAATTAGGGTTAAGGCACTATGCTATAAGTCGAAAGGTCGCGGGTTCTAATCCCGATGAGGTCATTGGATTTTTTCCAATTGACTTAATCCTTCCGGCCGCACTATGGCCCTGTGGTTCACTCAGCCTCTAACAGAAATGAGTACTAGGAATTAAATAAATAATTTTCCTGGGGAGTAAAGCGCGGCCGGCGCGTAAGGCTGACAACCTTACCGCCATCTTTGAGCCGATTGTCTAGATAATGTGGGACCCTCAACATCTCACAACCCTATGGGCCTTCATGGCCTGGTACAGGGATAGCTTTACTTTACTTACACACTTTACTATACATAATTTAGTTCTTGTTATGTACTTTGTGTGACACACTGAAACGTATCAAAATATAGGACGGTGTGAACGCTCTAGCCTTTAGAGCAGTAAGCAATGCTACATTAAGCATCCATCATACTTTCTGTACTGACGCGTTTACAAGCTGATCCACATGAACGGTATGCAAACTGAAGAGCTGAAACGAAATATCTTAGCCATGTAAGCGCCGCCAAGGGCAAACAAATTCCTCTATAGCCTTGCTTTCTGAATTATATGGAGGTCCCTAACCAGAGCCGTAATTACAGCTCTGTAACCAGTGTTCAGGGGTCCTTTGTTCTCGACATCGGATTGTTAATTACTGACCGTAGTCGCTGTAAATTTCGCTGGGAGATTAGGAATGTCATTTCTGATGTTTTTTCTTGTCATGTCTGTCGTACATATCATGTAAAGGGGGAAACCTGCTATTTTAAATGGCTTAAATTCATGGTGATATGACTTTTCTTTATTGTTAGTGGGGTGGGACTAAGTCCATTGTACTGCGGCCACTTCTGGCCTATTGTACCAGCCCCAG